CCAATGATTACCAGACAGCAGTACCAGGACTCCTATAGAGTACATACTCATGTTTATTAATGAATGGGAAGAAATGAACAAATATAATGTACTTTGTTCATTCTCCAGACCATGTTGATGAAAGAAATCTTAATATAAATGTGCTGGATCTCTGAAACAGGTTTGCTAAGGGGGACAGAAGTTCTCTTCATTTGCTATAAAATAGACCGCAATTATGCCATTTATATGAATCTTCACTCTTCATTAGTATTCATCTAAAATAAGTTTCTTTATAACATAATGCATGCTTGTAATGAATAGTTCCGCACGGGAGGCCTGCATGAAATCAGAAAAGATCATTCGCTTCTACCCTCCAAAGAAACCTGTCTCCACTCAACCTTAATGGACAGAAGCCCGGGTGGCACTGTGGGTTAGGCATTTGGCTATTAAACTCAAGGTCAGAGTTAGAAACCCACCAGCAGCCCCTTGGGAAAAAGATGAGGCTGTCTGTTCCTATAAAAAGTTACAGCCTCAGAAACACTAGGAGAATAAACAGGCCTGGAGAGGTTGAAGGCCTTGAATGGAATCATAAATCTGGGGTAAAGGATTGCATCGAGCCAGTGTTCAATCCTGAGACCAAGGTCTTGGGTGCAGTTCCACATGGCCTCAACGCGCTTGTTGTGTGGAAAGATAAAGTTCCCAATTGTTTCTGAATTTTTGGTTACCTCTAGATTCTTGACCATTATTGTCCATGGTTCGGGATGACAGGTATATGATGTAGGCAAAGTAATTGCTGAACATTCAAAGCCATTAAGTTCATCGGTAACAGTCATGGCTGGGGTTTTCTTATATGTGAATGCTTATTAGGACAACAACAACAACAACAAAACAGAACCACACATTAAAAACAAGACAAAACAACAACACACCCAAACCCATTGCCATTACCTTGATTCCTCACTCATAGCAAGCCGATAACGATTTCTGAGGTGGTAAATATTTGAGAGAAGAAAGTCTCATTTTGTTTCTCAGATGACTGGTCGGTTTGAACCACTGTACTATCAGCTGTCAGCCTACTGGTTTCCCACAATGCCACCGGGGCTCCTTCTCTTAACAGAAGACGGGACTCCACACCAAAAACCCAAACCAGGTGTAGCTGAGTCAATTCCAGCTCATGGCAACTCCTTTGACCACATCAACACCAAGCCTGGCTGAGTAGAATTGGTTTCATACTTCACAGAGTTTTAAGTGATTGATGTATCGGAAGTGGATGGCCAGAATTTTCTTCTCAGGCCTTGCTTCCTGGACTCAAGTTTCCAAGTATGGCCACCATGGGCCCTACCCGAGGACAACTCACAGAAGACACAAACCGCTGCCATTGAGTGGATTCCTGGGTTCCGACTCTTCATGACCCTGCCGGGCAGTGTTGAACAGCTCCATTCGCTTCCTGAGATTGAAAATCTTTACGGGAACTGACAGCCTCCTCTTTCTTCCATGGGTTTGAACCACTGACCTAGCTGTTAGCAGCCCAACGCTTCTCCCATGGAGCCACCAGGACTCCTCCCAGAAGACCTGGGAGAGATTAAACTTGGACGTTATTTGAATTTCTCTGAGTTTCCACCCATTGGGCTCTGTCAGTGTAAGCACAATGGGAAAGGGTGTTTGGCGCATCCAGGGCTGCTTTGGATGCTCAGTGCGTATGCAGGCTGAAAACCAGCAGGGACAGAGACAGCGCCGGGGCCGTAAGGAGACAAACTGTGATGGAAACACTGGGATCTGCTCTGTAAACCTTCACTGAGTTCAAAATGAAACGCTACAAAAAAGGACTCACACCGTGGGGCTGTGCGATCGTGGAGTGGGTGACCCATTAGGGCATCTTTGGGCTGTGCTGTGTTTTGCCCAGAGATGAGAAGCGGGTGCTGCTGCACTGGCTTATATCAGTCCATTGCGCATGTCTGTTTGTTCTTTCCTCATGATCCCCCACCCCCATTTCCTTCTTTCTGCACTTGGAGAGTAAGCCCATTATACTAGTTTGACAAAGCATTATAGTCATGTTTTCAAATGGGCCGTAGAGCAGCTTATGAAGCAGTATTGAACCTATTGGAAGGGAGGGCCTAGGGTGAAAGAACATGAAGATAGGGGTTAGGAGAGATCCAGTAACAGAGAATGTGATGGTCAACTGTCCTTGGTCCTTGGGTCATGCTGTCCGCTTGAAGGGCATGGGCCTCTGAGGAGTGTGGACAGCCAGTCCCAACTGCTCAACCTCAAAGGCCTGATTTCTGTTCTATTTATAGTTCTAGAAAGCACCTTGTCATATACTGTGAACTTCTGATCCCTTGGCCAGATCTCAGGAAGTTTAAGAAAGTGAAAGTAAATTCCATCTAAAATTTAGGTGACTTCACCTAAATTCTTGATTTGCTCATGCAATCGAAAGCTGTGACTATGTTGGAGTCATAGAACTTCATGTAGTTACCTGGCCGGAGCACCTGTCTTCAATGGGACCTGTGTTCTCCCACTAGCCACTCTTTCTCTGCTTAACATCGATCCTCCTGCCTGACCCTTGGTGGCATTTGTGACTTGACCCTGTCTATAAGTGATAAGTGGTGTGTGTGTGTGTGTGTGTGTGTGTGTGTGTGTTTCAGAACCTCAAGTGGAGCCAAGGGGGTACCATGAACATCGAAGAAGGAAATTTCAAACGGAAATTGTGTTCATTTCACTTGTTTCTGATCACAATATTTATTCAGCGATTTCAAAGGCCACTAAAGGAAGACTCTGGATTCAGCATGTTTGTCAAAGGCAGAAAGCAAGCAAAGAAAGCCATTGTCTTTGAAAGCGCTCTGACTCAGAGAGATCTGATAGGACAGAGTCGAACCGTCCCCTAAGACTCCCAGCGTGTCTTTCCCCTGTGGAGCCAGTTGTGGATTGGAACTGGCAACTTTTCTGTTGTCAGCCAAGCACTTACTGCTGCACCAGCGGGACTCTTGTCAAAGGCAGACGTGAGCGAGAGGAGTGTTTTACACAGAATGGGTCTTGCCAATTAGGGGTCAGAATAAAGATGGCTTACCCTGCTTCAGAATTGACTTGTTGGCAACAGACTCTTTAATAGATAGAGATTGAACATTTCACTACCAGTATTGAAAAATAATAGACATTTTATCATAGGTTCTAGATGGATACCAGATAAATAAGATAGGACAAGGCTAAGACACTGGACCGATCATAATGTCAACAATACCCTTTGCTGTAGGCTCAGTTACAAAAACTCTGAAAAGCCACCAGTTTCTCAACATTGGGAAACACAGCCTTGGAACTGCTATTAATCATCATACAAGTGAGTACCAGGTGCCGTTACCTTCTCTGAAACCCAAGTTGTAGTAAGAGGACACGAATTAATAACGACTCAGCCCTAGGAGAAACGGGGGATGTGGGTCCAGGGAGGGCTGGCACACACAAGGAATTCTTCAGGAAGGAAGGAGACCTTTGACTGTCCACTTTTGTTCTTCATTGGGTCCGATTACTTCATCCATCATTAAAGTCACGTGATCAATGCCATGGGCTAATGCTTTCGACTATTATCTGACGGACCGAACCTTGGCTTTCTTTGTATGCATCACTGCTTCTCGCTCCGTCCCTTAGAGTGAACTTCGAGCTACACGAGTTTTTCATAATCACAGAGGCCAGGCTATGTACACTGAAAACGGAAGGGTCCACATTGTGTGGTGTGGCTCAAATGCAAAAGCAAACAAACAAAAAGTTCATTGCATTCGTTTTATGGGCCCCAAACCCCCCAACCAAACTCACTGCCATTGAACGAAAACAATTACCAGTGGTTTGGGGTTGAAGTAGTTGCTTGGCTTTGGTGTTGTGATAAACAGTGCTTTAGATGTGAGGAAAAACCAGACACCACAGCACAATTCAATTTTTCAACAAGAGATTCAAAAGTAGAAGCAATGGATTTGTGTCTTCGAACAATTTGATCCTTTAAATAAACGAGCCAAACAACCAACCAGCAAGCAAACACAAGCCAGCAAGCTCATATGTTACTATTGATGCATCCCCATGGGAGCTTTTCCTAGCACCCCTACATGCGACTTTGTCTAAATTCTTTAAGGCTCTAAGTGATCTGTTGGAATTAAGTGGCATTTATTTGGTTCATACCTAATTGTGTGTGCCAGCCTCCCCTTATTAATGTAAGTCATAACTGTATTTTTAAGGATGTGAGGGTTTCAGCCTTGACATTAACTGTCACATTAACCCGCACAGCTTTCCTTGAAGAACCTCTGGTGCCACATGGATTAATTCTCCACAGGCATGGGCATTAAACAAAATCCTTAGCCGCCTTTGATCCATTCAACTAGGATTTTTGAAAGAAAAGAATCAGCAAGCCATTGTCTGTAAAGAACAGTCTAGGAGAATCGAAGAGCGATGTGGAGCCGTCCTTTGACCTAGGACCTGAATGGTTGTTATTGATGAGAAATGTTTCATGGGCCAGAGGTGGGATTGATTTGTACAAGGGCACCGCTTTGGGGAGTGCCCAGGTGAAGATCAGACTCACACTAGGAAGCAAAGAGGGGTGCTGGCATGCGAACCGGCAGGTCAGCAATTGGAAATCACCAGCTACTCTGCGGGAGAGAAAGACACAATTTTCTACTCCCTTAAAGATTGACAGGAAACCCACAGGGGCCGTTCGACCCTGTTCTATAAGGTCGCCATGAGTCAGACTGATCCTAATGACAGTGAGTGAGGAAGCCAAGCAACGTGGCTTTTTAAAACTCAGGGTGAGCCTGAAATGATTGTTTCCCTGCTCATATTCATAATCATTCACTGGGTGCTTTGAACGAGGTAATGTTCTTGAGCAAACATGAACAAGAAACCTAATCTCCTCCCGTCCCCCCCGCCCCCAAATAATGATGATGATGATGGCTGAGCCCGAGAAGAGATTTTTCTAGGCTCTTTGTGCATTGGTTTTCCTTTGAAAATAGAGCTGCATTTTTAGAACCTGTTTGTTTTTGTTTTCACAGGATGTGTGAGACTGGTGAAGGGCTGTTTATCTTTCAAACACGCGATGGGGAGGCCATCTATCAGAAAGTCCACTCTGCGGCCTTGGCCATCGCTGAGCAGCATGAGCGCTTGCTGCAGAGCGTGAAAAATTCAATGGTACGTGTGGAATGCCTTCCTTCCGCCCCAGCGTGCAGAGCACTGCAGAATGCAGTCGGGGCATCCTTGTGCTGTACAGTGTGGTCAGCAGCTCACATAGCAGATGGTTTATTTAGTCAACAATGCCTTATTTGGAGCAAATGCCATTCTTGAAATGTCTGAAGTGGCCAATTGCTCACACCCACCGTAATCAGACATCTCTGCTTGTTTATCTACTTTGTGGGTCATTTATGGTCTGCGCTCTATAGACACAGTTATGTGGGTTATCTAAGAGTGAACATGTATTATTTATAACTGAAGGTATCATCTTCAATGCTAACAGACTACAACCACCAACACAACAAGCCTTTGTTGGCCCAAAAAAAGCCATGTCTGCAGGCTACATGCAACCCCCAGGCATACATTTGTCATCCGTGATTAATAAACTGGCACAAATACGGGGGTATAAAGATGCTACAGGTACAGCAACAGTCCCGGATGCTCTCTCTTCATGGGATTGTGTGAGCCCTTGCATGTTGCACAAGCAATAAGAATTTGTGAAGTTTTGTATTTAAGGATCATAAATTCATGAAGTCATAAATGAACGCCTGATGGTTCAATAATGCAAATTATGCACCGAGGTTGCAGACGCTTTCATGTAACTGAACATCTGGAAGGAAATATGCAAAATCAAAGGGAGCTGCATTAGCAGGGTAAGATGAGGGCTGTCTGAAATGTATTATTTACACATGTGGGGTGGTTGGCTTTACCGAGGGAAAGCAGGCCCATGAGATGACCTGACCCAAACAGTCCCGATTAATCCCAAGTGAGTCGTGCACATTGTGCTCTGGGGTTTAGAGGAAAGCGCAGAGGAACGCTTCTGGAAAAGGCCAGGTAAGACAGTTTCTAGCCCTGTGAGTTGATAGGGTCTTTGTCAGAACCATTCAACTCTGTCACGTAGCATGAAAGCAGCCATGGGAAATTGATAATTAACGGAGCATGACTGTGCACCCATGAAACTTTATTGTTGGACACTGAACTTGAGGTGCCCATTGTTTTCACATGTCTCAAAATAGTCATCTTCTTTAAATCCCCGCCCCTCCCGACCATTTGAAAATGTGAAAGCTGTATTTTAGCTTATGGGTTGTACTAGTCACATGTCAAATTTGACTCATCTGCTTACACCTGTCTAAAAGGAACAAGAGTTTGCTGGGAGCTATGGTAGTCGGAGCACTGGAGAGAGAGTTGCAATGGGTTTGCGAAGGTCGGGTACGATGTTGGATGTGGTGGTGGGCGTGCCCTGGAGATCTGAAGTGAATAAAGGGGTAGACACAGATAAAAGAGAGAGAGAGAGCTCAAAGCAACCGAATCAATGAATTTGAGATTCTTCCCTCCGCATGGTCGTAGACCTAGTCTCAACACCAAGTCACTCTGCAGTTGGAGCCTGGTGGAAGAGAGCACCATTATTGACATGGCCCTGCCTCAGTTTCTTCCTTTGCAAGGCGGGGTGGGGGTGGGGGGAAGAGAATTGTATTTATCTTCATGTCTTCTGGGGAGAGTTAAGGGAGAAACTCACATAGGGCCATCAGTACTGAACCCGTCACATACTAATTTTCAGCTCATGGTAACTGTTGGTCTCACTGTTATTAATAGCTGAGCCATCGTTAGCAGTGCTATTAATAGATGAGCAGTTGAGTTGGTCCAGAAGGAGGCTACACCGATGACACTGGTGAAACTGAATGGGGTATTATCCCACTGCACCCAGTGCCCGCGACACCTCCTCTTTCCTTTTTTCCTTCCTCTTTGAGGGTTTCAGTAGAACAAGTCTAAAGACAAGATCGAGAAGCAATTGGGAATGACATAATCAGATAATTCTGTGGAGAATCAGAATTAAATTCAGTTCTGTGAGAAGCCGACATATTTACTATGTCCTTATTTCAAAAAGGGATCTAGCTGTGTGTCATTGAAAGATTGCAGACAACACGGCAAAATAGAAAGAGCGATGTAAATTAACCATTGCCCTGCCTTGTAGGAATATACACTTTGCTGGCTTTAAAATTTTTTTTTTAATGTTTTGAGATCTAATTCACATATCACCCTCTGCTAGCGTTTCAGTGTTGACCTCTCTGGTATGTTAGCTATGTGCATCTAGCAAACGAGCTTCTTTTGGAAATATTGCCTTTTAAAACAAAACATCACGTACGACCCACACATTTCCACATTATTACAGACAATTTCACGGTTGGAGAGAACTACCTTGTGTGGCTATTCCAGCTCAATCTATGTTCATCAATGATTATTAGTTTAGGATCAACTCTTTCACACTGAATCCTGAATCCAATTAACCACTTCCAAGGTCCCTAGCTGCTCTTTCCAAATACCAAACCACTTGCCACCAAGTTGACTCTGATCCATGGCGACCCATGTGGGCCAGTGTAGACCTGTGCTCCATAGGGCTTTCAATGGCTGCGTCTCAGAATTAGATCCTCAGCCCTTTCTTCTGAGTTGCCTCTGGGCAGGCCCCAAACTCCCGCCTTTTGGTAATAACCAAATACGTCAGCAATCTGAACTCACAAACTCCTTTCCAAGGAGCTTTTCAGAAAGACTTCTTAAACTAGTGTAATCTTAGTTTCCATCTCCTCATATATTCACCAATTCTGGATACTGCAATATGGATGGATAGATGATAGATAGATAGATAGATAGATAGATAGATAGATAGATAGATAGATAAGATAGTGCAGTAGAATTCAGATCACTTAAAATTGACAGGGCAATCACATTGCATTAGAATCGGGTAGGTTTCCCATAGATGCCTTTAGGTAGCTGGAGACATCTTTTCAAGATTACCTTATGGCCATAAACTTGTGTGCTTCAAAGGCTGGCTCTAGGAGCACACGTGTTTCTACTTACAGCCTTCTCATTATTTCTGCTAAAAATTAATCGGGTCTATGAGTAATTTGTTCAGATCATCCCTTTGCAAATTCAACTAGAAAACCACGTCGTTTGCTCTTAATTTGCTGTATGCTTAATGAGATCTATAAAATGAATGTGGTTTATAGCAACCACATCCTGCTTTAGTGGAAATGAGTGAACTTCAACCTGGGATTTGAATCTCAGGGAATGGGAGAAGCTTAAAATCACCTTACTTGAATCAATCCCAGATGAGTGGGAGAGAGCGATAACACGCTCAAATCAAGCAAATGACGACAGCTCGGCTTACTCTTCCCCCCTCGGCTTGCAGTTTGCATTTGCTGGTCACCAGGGATGGAGCCACACTGGTCTGACTGTTTTTGAAACTTGGAATTGATCTACCACCCTGCTGGCTTGCTTCTCACAAGTGGATTAACTGCTGAAGTCCCTGCCCGGCCTTAGTTTCCCCACTAGGCAGTCCTTACCTGTTGTTGGGGCAGCATGGGTGGTGCAGTGGTTCAGCACTTGCTGCTAAATGAATGAAGAGCTGGCAGTTCAAACCCACCAGCCCCTTCCCTGAGTGAAAGCTGAGTAGGCTGCTTCCATAAAGATTACAGCCTTGGGAATCCTATCGGGCAGTTCTCTTCTGTTCTGTTGAGTTGGTAGGAGTCAGAATAGAGTCGAAGACATTGGATCTTTGAACCTACTGTTGGACTGCCTGGGTGGCTGCTGGCCAAAGGGTGGAGGTTCGAATCTACCGGGACACACTTGGGAAGAAAGACCTGGTGATCTTGTTCCAAAATATCAGCCATTGAAAACCTAAGGAATACGGTTCTACTCTGACACATAGGGGTTGCCGTGAATTTGAACGGATTTGGGAGCAATTTGTTTTGATTTTACCTATAAAATATGTTTTCCTAATAGTTAATCAAGCCCACCCCTATACACAAATAATTAAAACTGCTGCCATCCAGCTGGTGCTGACCCATAGCAACCTTCTATAAGGTGTCGGAGACTGTAAATCTTGATGGGGGCAGAGAGTCTTGTCTTTCTCCCAAGGAGAGTTGTTGAGTTTGAACCAATGACCTGTGGTTAGCAGCCCAAGGCCTAACCCACTGCATCACTAGGTTCTTCAATAGTGTAATAGTACAATTGATTTCACTTCCAATAAATGCCACACCCATACCAAACCCACGGCCGTTGAGTTGATTCCAACTCAAAAGGGATTCCAAGGCGATACACCTTTCTTTAGGGAAGCAGATGGCCTGTACTTCTACTGGATTGGCTAATGGGCTCGAGACGCCGCTGACGTTTGGGTTAGCAGCAGAGCACTATATCCACTGCACGTCCAGGGCTTCTTACTATGTGATAGGCTGTTTAATACCATTTATCAAGCCTCTGATGCTTTGTTTTTTGCTCTAATCATCACGCTGATTGTGACAGAGAGTCATTGATTTGCCATCATTCATGTCTCCATCCAAAAAGGCTTATAGAGAACCCCATGTGTTTGTTCTATGGTGACATATATGACACAGGGGACAGTGTGGTACATGGACACAAGACCCCTGGTCCCATGGGGCTTGCCACGAGAGAGAATGCTATCCATGACCCTTGAGCTGGAAGGGATTACTGCCCCCATCATGTTGAGAATATGGAACTCAGGAAAGTTATTTGCCCTGACGGCATAGTGGTTGCCAGTTGGGCTGTGATCCACAAGGTCAGCTATTCGAAACCACCAGGGAGAAGACAGGGCTTTGTGTTCCAGTAAATAGTCTTTGTCTTGAAAACTCATAGGGCAGATCTACCCCATCCTAGAGGGTCACCCTCAGTCAACATGACTGCACGAGAGTGAGCGTTTTGGCTTAGGCTCATCGCTGCAGATTCAAGGTCACAGGTTGTTTATGTTCATGTCTTCAGCTGTTGTCTCGGACCGCTCTGCCCTAATCCCTGCAAGAGATTAGGGACTAACATGACCTGTTGTGTCCCCACTGGAATCTGCCTGGACATCTCCATACTACTCCAAATACCAGCGTGACTTTCGGAAACACCCATCAATTTCCTGTCCCTAAAAATAATCCCTGTTAAAAGAGATCTTGTGTCCTTTCACT